CCAAGGTTTGGATCCCAGTACTGGCCCATCAAAAAAAAGGGGGGGGCCGGCCCGTGGCTCACTCGGGAGAGTGTGGTGCTGATAACACCAAGGCCACGGGTTCGGATCCCATATAGGGATGGCCAGTTAGCTCGCTGGGTGAGCGTGGTGCTGACAACACCAAGTGAAGGGTTAAGATCCCCTTACCGGTCATCTTTAAAAAAAAAAAAAAAAAAATTTGAAATTTTTTTTTTTTTTGCTGGCTGGTACAGGGATCAAACCCTGGACCTTTGTGTTATCAGCACCACACTGTATCAACTGAGCTAATTGGTCAGCTGTGACTGTTTTTTATTTTAGCTATTCTGATAACTGTGCAAATGTTTAAAAATATTAAAAATAAACAATGTTTAAAAATATTTCATTCATCCAAGGTTTGGATCCCAGTACTGGCCCATCAAAAAAAAGGGGGGGGCCGGCCCGTGGCTCACTCGGGAGAGTGTGGTGCTGATAACACCAAGGCCACGGGTTCGGATCCCATATAGGGATGGCCAGTTAGCTCACTGGGTGAGCGTGGTGCTGACAACACCAAGTGAAGGGTTAAGATCCCCTTACCGGTCATCTTTAAAAAAAAAAAAAAAAATCATTCAGAATTTTTATTTATTTTCATTATTTTTTGTTTGTTTTTTAATTTTTATTGAATCAAAGTTGATTATACATATTTTGGGGGTTCAACATTGAGATCTGTTGATCAATCAATATTACTAGCATATATATTGTTACAAATCGTAATTATTCTTTATGCCCCTTGTCCAAACTCTCCCCATCCCCTTCTCCATCCCCCCCCCAAATACCCTAGATTTCTTCTCTCCTTCTGAACAAATAATGGCTACTCTGTTGATATTTTGCCTAGATGATCTGTCCAATGCTGAGAGGTGTGATCAGGTCCCCCAATATTATCGTAGAGCAGATGCTTCTTCTGTCAGTCTGAAATGGGCTTTGTGGAGAGAGACATCCTCTTCTTTGTCTCTGCTGGTGATTCTCCTTGTGTCAATGCACTCCAGTGGTTGGCAGACCATCTGCACGGTGGCTGTGGTGTCTAGCCACTTTTGCAGCAGCTGTGGTTACTGTGGTGGCTATGGTGGGCCACCCACATGGAGGTGATATTTTTGGCATGCCCCCTAGCAATGGCAGTGTGCCTGGTTGTAGGGAGTGTCTGGTCCCCAGCTCCATGCCTTGGGTCCCCAAGCGGGCCCTGAGGCACTGGCACAGTGTGCCTGGATGTGGGAGAGGGGTCTGGTCCCCTTCTCCATGCCTCAGGACCCCAGGCAGGCCCCAAGGTGCTGGCACGGTGTGCCTGATTGTGAAAGGGGGGGTCCAGTCCCTGGCTTCATACCCTGGGCCCTCAGGCAGGACCCTGAGGTGCTGGTGCAGTGTGCGTGGTTGTGGGAGGGGGTCTGGTCCACTTCTCCATTCCTCGGGTCCTTGGGTGGGCCCTGAGGCACTGGTGCAGTGTGCCTGGTTGTGGGGGGGGCAGTCCCCTTCTCCATAGAATTTTTATTATTTTTGAAGGATGAGATAACTTGCAACATGCTAAACTATTCTGTAACATGTTAAACTGATTTTTTGTTTTTAGAAGATGACTGGTAAGGGGATCTTAACCCTTAGCTTGGTGTTGTCAGCACCACACTCAGCCAGTGAGCGAACCGGCCATCCCTATATGGGATGCGAACCCAAGGCCTTGGTGTTATCAGCACCGCACTCTCCCGAGTGAGCCACGGGCCGGCCCTTAAACTGATTTTTTAACTGCTACCACATCAGTTTCTTGAGGGATAGGATCCAGGCATCTTGTTTTTTTCGAGGGATGGCTAGCCTGTACAGGAATCCAAATCTTGATTGTTACCAACACCACACTCTAATCAAATGAGCTAACCAGCCAACCCCCTAGGTAGTTTTTAAAGCAATAAGGGTAATTCTTATTTACAGCCAGGTTAAAAACCACTGGTCTCAGAAGACATAAGCTTTGAAGAAAAAAATCATCCTTTGAAAAAACAGCCATATCCAATGATGGGAATAGACAATGAAAATATGTGGTGGGATAGTAAAGCTGAATGATATTTCAGAAATATAAACAAGGGGGGGCGGGCCTGTGGCTCACTCGGGAGAATGTGGTGCTGACAACACCAAGGCCACAGGTTCGGATCCCATATAGGGATGGCCGGTTTGCTCACTGGGTGAGCGTGGTGCTGACAACACCAAGTCAAGGGTTAAGATCCCCTTATGGTCATCTTTAAAAAAAAAAAGAAAAGAAAAGAAATATAAACAAGGATTCTATGACTCTGGAAAATAAAAATTGTGGAAAATAATTTTTTAAACTTTTGAAAATCCAAAATAAATTAGTTGTAAAGCAATCTTGTTAGATCAAAAAATAGTTTTAAATTTGAATATCAAAATATTAAATGGTTACTTAGAGCCATGAAGAGTTCCTAATAGAAAAAAAAATAAGTTAATTGATAAAGAGATGTATAATTGTCCAACTCACCTAGAAAAGAAAAATATAGAAAAAGTTCAGGTAGTGACTTGTCAAATTAGTCGATCAATTTTAGGTTGTCAAAGTCTCTGATGACCCAGGAAAATTGTGCATTGTGTCACTAGGGGGAGTTGAACCTCTACAGAGCAATGCAGGAAGGGGAAATGTTAAAAATTCTAAGAACCCCCCCAGAATTCCTCATGAAGAGCAAAGACAGCAACTAGAAAATTAAAGCATGTTACTAAAAAAGGAGTAAGTCTAAGAGTAAGAGGTTTAAGGGAAACAAGAAGGAGAGTGTCTGCCCGTCCCCTCTCTGCCTCACTCTGTTAACAGATTCCAAACAGCCTGCTTCTGCCTCTCCAGTAGGGTTCTATCACATGCAACAAGAGTCCTGACTAATATCAGAAGCTATGTGCCACTTTGGAAAGCAGGTGGTAATGACACC